GAGAACATTAGCTTTACCCTCATTCTATCGTATATCCGTTACATTGCCATGGTTACAATCCCCTCCATGCATCATCAACCAACCAAATGGTAGACCCTGCCAGCCTGCCCCCTAGTCAGCACAGAGCCTCTCTCCCTCTCTGAGTCTCCATCTGCTCCATCTTTCCACATCATCTTCTCTGCCTCCATTTCTGGTGTACTGTTTCCTGGGTAGGGTCCCACACTCTACTCTTCTCCCTTGATGGTCCCAGGGCTCTCTGCTCCTGGACTGCAAAGTCCACCACTCCCCTCCTTTTGCTACAAAATATCTACCTTTACATTTCCAACCCTCACAGTCAGTCCTGATAGTAATTAATCACTATTGAACCACATGAGTGCTATCCACATCTCCTTTCATCAGTCCCACCTAGACAGATTGGATACTACTCAGTGGAGATTCTACCTTCCTCTGAAACCTCTGGATCAAGGCTCCCTCTTGAAACCTTGTAAGGCAGTCACTTCTTGCCTTTGTAGTCCTCCCACCCCCCATTTTGGGTAGCCAATGTCCAAGTTGTCCATCCCTATCTACCCTGTGTATTGAGGGGGTGGGAATGATCCTCATTGTAAAGATTTGTTCCCTCTTTTGGGCTACTGCATCCATAGATGTAGGTCAAGTTCATCAAATTATATCAGGCTACTCTCTTTTTCCTCTTCTTTCTTCTTCTAGTTGAGTTCTGTTCATAAGCCATTGAAGACAGGTCAAGTGGGTATTATCTGTAAGTGTGGGTGTTCTTGTGCATATGCCATCTCCTCTTATCAGCTGGATGCTTAATTTTCCACTCTAGTCCTCTGTGCCTAAGTCACTGACTCTGGGCCCAGGAGTCCCCAGAGTCTCTGGCCAACCAGGTCTCCACCCAGGTTCACAGGAGTGTATTGAACATGGTTTGACTTAGCTTGCAGCTTCATTGCTGTTTTTCCCTCACTTCCTCTTATTGGTGACCAATGTGGTCACCAGTCAGAGCATGTGTCTACTCGTGTATTCCCATTGAGTCTCAATTTTGATAGAGGGATTGCCCTTAGGGGACTCGACCACTTGCCTTGAAGTCTCCTTGGCCCCTTGCTTTCTTGCCTACATGGTTTCTGCTTAGAGATCCGTGCTTAATCTGACTTTCTTACTTTTGTATATAGCACTTCTATTTTCCGTTGCTGTTTTCAGGATTGTCTCCTTATCTTTGATTTTGGAGAGCTTGATTATGATATGTCTTGGTGATTTTCTGTCAGGGACTGGCCTTGACATAGGGGTTTGGTTCACGCGGTGGAGATACCTGGCGGTGATAAAGATATAGCAAGAATACACAGAAAGAGACAAAGAGAGAGACAAAGAGACACCCCGAAACCAGGATGGATGCTGGACTGGCATCAGGCAGATACTGCATTGCAAACATCTCAGCCACGAAGGCCGTAATATCCTGCATAGTAAACATCGTGGCTAAACAGGCAGTATGGTTGCAATACTAGACTGAGCCCCCTGCATGCTGTAACACACGCCTTGCCAGTCGTAATGCACCTGGATTCGTTCTGCGCCTTCCTTTTCTTTAGGGGAGGTACTTTACACAAAGCTAGGAGGGACTAAGACAAGGTACAGCTGTCAATCTTACTTTTCCAGACATTCAGGCAACTTTACATCATACTTTGCAGGTTCGAATCTCACGACCGCAACTTGGTTTCTCAAGCTTAATTAACATACCTTTTAGCACCTAGCCTCAAATGGGGGAGGAAACGGAGGATTGGGAGGATTCCCATTGTGTCAGCTGCCCAGCCCAGGTTCTTCAGGAAAAGAGATGCCTGGGTGAATGGGCTGCACCTGGAAACACTTTAGAGAGGGCATTCCTATTGTCCTTAGAACAGAGACCGGGGAGCCACCCAATTTACTTTGAATGCATTCTCTGAGGGAAGAACTTTGCCTGTTTGGAATTTTACAGTCTTGGCTTTTAGGAAAATATTACATTTATCTGTGGATATCAAGGGCTTCATGTCTGCATTTAGTAAAACATAACTGGACACTAAGATGAAAAACAATTTGCTATTAACTGCCAGGTGGCTAGAATCTTTTCCTCAGAGCTTGTGACCTGTAACACTCGGGCCTATAGGGCCTTGAACTTCTAACCAGGCCTACACAGTCTGCAACAATTTTCTTTTGGGGTCTATCCTAGTTGAGCTTCTTGAATGCTTATATTTTCACTTTTCAGGATGTTAGAGAAATTTTCTTCCAGAAGCTCTTCAACTATCTCCTCTGTGGACTTGTGTGATTCTTCCTGTTCCAGAATGCTGGTAATTGTTAAGTTATTCTTCTTCATGTTGTCCAACATGAATCTTAGGCCTTCTTCAGATTTTTTAATCCTTTTTTTCTGCTTGCTCTTCTAGCTTATTAGTATTGAAAGATTTGTCTTCCAACTCACTAGTTTTGACATCCGTCTCTTCAGTTCTCTTACTTTGTCCTTTCAGTGTATTGTCTGTTTCTGATATTCTATTATTTATAGTTTGGACCTCTTTCTGTAGTTTTTGAATTGTTTCATATGCTATATCTATCTTATTTGTTCCTGTAGTGCTTCCTTATTTTTCTCCATGTCATTGTAAAGTGGTTTGAAACATTCTATAATAATTTTTCTGAACTCCTTCTCAGGCACTTCTAACGCCTGCCCTTCTTCCAGAATGGAGTCTAGGTCTTCCTCTAGGTAATTTGTCTCAGACATTTTATCTTGTTTCTTGACATGTGCTGGTATGGTCATCTGCTTTTTCTTGTTGGACATGTTCAGTTATTAGCTGTGGCCTTAATACTTAATTGAGTGTGCATTTTGGTATTTTTTATGCTAGATTGCCTCCAGGCAAATATGATCGGGAGGTGGGCTTCCATTTTCACTCTTCTTATTGCTTAACTCAGAGTAACTTTCACAAGTGTTGTCTGCCTCCCTGGTGTATGGCAGTTGGTATTGGTTTTTTCCTGGATTATGGGGTTTCATAGGGTGTGATTGTAGCTTGAATATATGGCAGCAATTGCTG